TTTTTTTTTTTCAATTTCCCAGTTTGGCAAAATCACTTTTTAAAATAATTGTGGAGGCTTAAAACTCAGTGCTTGTTAGGCATAAACATGTAGGTGGAACCACCTACATTATTATATTCAGCTGCATCTAATGGTCGAAGAGCGCCCCCTGCTGTTCTGTAGACGCTCCTCACGCTTGTATCCATGTCTGTTTTTTTCTTATTCCCAGATAAAGTTGTGTATGTGAGTTTGTTGGGTGTATTTTATATTATATTGTTAAAATCTCAGCAGCAAATACCGTAGCTGAATTTTTATGTAACTGTATCTTCATGTTGTTAAAGAAACAAGAACTGCCTGGAAACAAATATGTACAGGATGAGGAGGATGTGTGTGGATTCTTTTTTTTTGCTCTTTCTTAGTATCTTGCAACTATTTATGCTAGGACTTTTTACTGGTTTCAAAATGAGATCAAAAACCTGTTGATAGAGGAGTTATATGCTCGTCCACTTTCAAGATCACTGGTAATATCTTCGGTTGTTTCTTCTCAGTACCAACATAAGGAAACAACTTCTCAGTGAAATTGTGTTTGAAGGTGTGTATGAGTGTGTAGGCATCCAGATCATAGAATGAGAGCGTCCCTCTGTCATATTCCAGCTGAACTCTGACCCTCTGCAGCTTCTTTACTGACAAAACATAATATGTACCTGCTGTTGCTACTCTGTACTCTTCATCCTCGAAACATAATTGCCAGAAACCTGACCGTGTTTCTACCTTTCTCTCAAAAGACTCATTTACAACACCAACGGACCAAACTCCCTCTTCTCTAACCTCAACATCCCAAATGTGAGTCCCTGAGTTGAAGCCCTCAGAGCCCACAACAACTTTATATTTGTCAAACCTCTCTGGATTATCAGGAACCTTCTGTCTCCCTCCAAATGTCACATTGGTCAGATCGTCAGACATGATGAGTTGTGGATGAGCTGTGTTTGGATCCAGAATCACAGGAGTGTAGGAGACCATCTCCTTCATCTTATTCCAGATGTTGTAGGTCAGGTTGCCCAGGTGTTTGGCCACATCTATCAGAGCTCCTGAGACCAGCTGTGGAGCATCCAGCAGGGGGAGCTGCTCGACTCTGTTCACTGCAGCCTTGTAGCTCTGGAGAAACACGACGTCTTCAGCTCTCAGTTGCTCCTCTGTGGCTCTGATTGTTTCTGAAAGAGTTTCCATTGTTCTGTTCAGATCCTCAGTCTTCTCCTTCATCCTCTGACTCTTCTGTTTCTCTTCTGTCCTCAGAGCAGTGATCCTGGCATTTTCTTCCTTTTGTAGAAATTGACGAAGCTTTTTAAACTCCTCATGAATTTGCTCTTCTATTTGCTGGGCCTGGACCTTAATGGTTTCTGCTATTTGGTCAAACTCTCCTTTAGTGTATTCAGTGATCATCTTTAACAACTTTAAGGGTGCCAGCAATTCCTTTAGCTCTTTTCTGTGATCGTCTGCAGCTTCATCAATAGGTCTGAAGCTGTGGTTTTTGTGTGCTATTGAATCTCGACAGACGACACACACCGGCTGCTGATGATCCAAACAGAAAAGTTTGAGTTTCTCATGGTGCAGACTGCAGAGAGGCTCAGACACTGCAGAAGCTTTTTTATCTCTCTGCAGTAAGAAAGCCTCACACAGGTTCTTTAACACCAAGTTACGGGGCGGATCATTTGACAGGTTTATCTTCTTACAAAGTGGGCAGTTGTGTTCTAGAATCTCGCTCC